AGGGACTCAGTTCCCAGTGTACCATTGGTCCGCTCCCTGTCTGCGTCTCACACTGGGGCCGTCTCCTCCTCTGACCCCAGATTCCACCCCTGCTTCACAGCGGGCAAAACAATTGGCCTTTTTAGAGGCAGTTTGGATTTCGGAGTCACATCCCTCTCCCCCTATCTCCCCCACCCTTCCTCCCCAGGTAAGAGAAAACAGAGGTCTCATGAAAGGGCTCCATTGAGAGCCACCAGCTGAGAGCTGAGACCGCAGGAGGAGCGGAGGCCACCCTGCCACAGACCAAGTTGACTGCTGGCCATATGGCCCACTGTTTCCTCCACTTTGTCACCTGGCAACGGGAGGAAGAAAGGAAACCTACTGTGGCCCAGGGTCCACTGCCTTCCCCTGAATTTCAGGTATTGCTCACCAGACTTGCATCATGGGCAAGGTGGGAAAATAACACGCTGCCCACACCCTTGGAAACACACTGTCTGCCAGCTGCGATGCCAAGAGCTTTACACACCTTATCTCAATGGACTGTAACCCCTGACTTAGGTGGCCAAGTCAGTTTCAGAGGTTAAGACCAACATTTACAAAAGGAAACAGGCAAGACTGTAATTAAGTAGAAAATATTGGAGAGTAGCCCATAAAGTCATTTTGCACTGGGAAACTTCATTTCACCAACATTCACATATACGTACGTGTTCTGGAACGCAATGTAAAATGTACTCACTGAGAGCAAGGCTAAGGCTGTCACAATCCAATTGTTTATCTAGTCCACAACCGTCCCACTGAGGTCTGCTTGGTTACTACACAGTCTAACAGAGAAAACAGCTGAACTCACTTCCCCAACGCCATCTGCACCCCACACCCTGCCCCTGTTCCTGCCATGTGCCTGACACGACGACTCCTTTCTGTTCCGCTTTCCTCCCCAGACCCTGCGCCGTTCTCGAAGCTAGAGCTTTCTTTTGCTCCTCCCACCAGCTCTTCACACAGCCGGCTCCTTGCACCCGCCAGGTCTGGTGTGGGCGTCATTTCCCCTGTACCAACCTGCCCGGACCCCCGTGTGAGCAGCTCTGCTTCCTTCTCTGCTGCCTGTCTCCCTCTCTGCAGCTCCGGGCACAGCTGTACCCACCAATGAGACCCAGCAGCCCACAGAGCCATGCACAGGTAGGCACTTCGCAACTGCTAAGTGAATAATGAAACGTCCCAAGTCCCCAGAGAGGTGAGCGAGAGTCAGCGTCCACCCCAGGTATGACCCGAGGCTTGCTCTGCTCCCTGCACTGTACCCAAACTGGGAAATTGTGTGTCACTGCCCCAGCGCCTGCCTCACAGTCCCCACACATCCAGCTCCCAAAGCCCAGGCTCGCGCCACTGTGCCACCCGGGGAGATGAGGAATGGCTCCCAGGGACAGCCCCGTGTGGTCAGCCAAAAACCTGGAGGGGATAAACGAATGCAGAGCCATTAAAACTTTCAGGCTTGAGAAAAAATTTGCTAGTGACTAGAGAAATACTAGAAAAAAATCAGCTAAGCACACGATCTATGCTGGAGCAGGCTGCTTAGAAATAAGTGGTGGGAGACTCCCCAGCAAGGAATATACCATAAAAAAACCCCGAACTGCCAAAAAATTCACTCTATTAACTGTGCAGGGGCCACAGAGGGCTGAGGTCACAGGAACTGCCTGTTAAGGTGCCTTGAGTGGGCAGCATTAAGCTGTGATTCAGAGACAGGACACAAGCCTCAGCAGGCTTTGACTGGGCCTACAGAGGTCAGAGAAACAGGCTGCAGGGACACTTGGGCAACACTGCCACCTTGTGGCTGTGGAACGCCTGGCCCACAGGAACAAAGTGCAGAGGAGACAGTTCGTGGGTTCATTCTTCAGCACGACTTGTCACACCTGTCTCGCTGCTGGGGCTTGGCAAAGGGTCTAAGATGACTCCTACCTTCAAAGACCCTTGCCCCTCCACCCAAGCAGTGACCACACCCTCCTCTTTTTATCTCCTTTTTTTTTTTTTTTTTTTTTTTTTTTTTTTTTTTTTTTTTTTTTTTTTTTTGGTTTTTCTCCGGTACCGGGAACTGAACTCATGACCTTGCGCTTGCCAGGCAGGCGCTTTTGCCGCTGAGCTAAATCCCCAGCCCCTATCTCCTTTCAAAACTTTTGTCTTTCCTGCTACTGCCCCCAACATGCCTGAGGACAAGGATAGCCACACACTCAACTCTGAAGCTACCATACCAAAAGGCCCAGCACAGCAGAACAAGGATAGCTGCCACTATTTAATAATAGTTAAGTACTTCTGAGTAAAGTACCCATCAGGTTGTCAAACTTCACCTATGAGGCATCCACAAAGCCTCCGAACGGCAATGCCAGTGGGTATTCCATTCCGTGTGAACTAGGAGATTCTGGAGGCCAGGGGTGGGGAAACAAAGGCGGGCACTGCCTTTTTGTTATTGTCTTGAGTTAAAGTCTCACTATGCAGCTCACGTTGGCCACAAATGTACTATGTACCCACTGTGGCCTTGAACTTGTGATCCTCCTGCATCAGCCTCTTGAGTGCTGGAATTACAGGCTCGGGCCACCACAGCTCAGCAAGTGGTGTTCTTCCAAAAACTAATGCCTCTCAAAGTTTAATGTGTAGGTGACTTGCATGGGAATTTAGCTAACATGCAGATTTTGATCCTGTGCTGTGGATCAGAGCTGGGGATTTGATTTCTAACAAATTCCCAGGAGGTGCTCATGCTGCTGAGTAGTAAGAATCTGGGACAGATACAGATACAACTATGACCAGCAGGTCACACCTGAGCCACAGCCTGTGTGTGTACAAACAGCTAGCCAGGACTGACATTTTCAGAGGAGTGGAGAAGGGAGAAGAGATGAGGAGGCGTCTGAGACCATCTGTGCCTCACAAAGCCTAAAATATTCACTTTCTTTTTCCAGACTGAAGAGAGCACTAAGCTACATTCTCCAGCTTTTTCTCAAAATTTTACTTAAGACAGGATCTCAGTAAGTTGCCCAGGTAGACCTGGAACTTACAATCCTCCTGCTTCAGCCTCCCAAATGGCTGAGGATTATAGGCATGCACCATGTGCCCAGCTACTCCGGTCCTTTACAAAAAAAAAAAAAAATTGCCAAGCCCTAGTCTAGAAAGTCACACAGAGCCGGTGTACACAGCTAAACAAGGACAGACAAGGACCAGTCCCTGAAGCATACTGTTGTGCCTTCTAAATCCCCAGGCCTAGTGCAGACAAGAAGGCAAGAGTACAAGGCATAGAGGCTAAGAAGGTGGGGAAAGACGAGCTCCTGTCTGAGAACAGCAGGTGGGCAGGAATGGTGTTGAGGGGGTGAATCACAGAGACATGGGGTTCGGAGTGGACAAGAGGTCACAGCCTCCTTCAGAGTTCATTTTGGGAAAGATAAATGGAAAGACAGAGCAATGACCAGCTCCGTTTGTGTGCAGTGCAGCATAAGTACTACAAAAATAAAATAAAAAGAAAACCTTGGGATCCCATCTGAGCAGCAAAACCTTCTAATTTTGGCAAGGGTGTGGTGGCAAAATGACAGCTCTGGAGCCTGCAGTTTGGGGGCTGTTCCAAGTTGTGTTTGACTACAGCACCTTCTTGTCACGCTTCTGCCACCCGTGTGAAGAAATACACTCCTTAAATGTCACTGCCTGGGAAAGTAAATATAGCTGTCCACTTCTATCAATGCAAACCGAGGAATCTGGCTCCCTTTCAGGGAAGACCAGGCTGTTTTGCTTTCTGCTGTGAAAGGTCTGCTTGTCTCACATCAAGTGTTCACATGTATTTGCAAAGGACAACAATAATGCCCTTTCACAGGAGTGCAGAAAGACTTCTCTGTAAAAAAGACTATAGAGCAAAGCCATACTGTTCCTAAAAGCTGGAGGGCAGATACAGAACACAGAAGGATAGGACAAAACATCAAAAACACTCCAGTTTCCTGGTTGCAAAGAACCATTAGTCAGCTAGTCTACCTCAGTTTCCAGCAACGCTGCCCATAAAATCTAACCATCTAGGAAAAAAAAGTGCATGTCATGCCCTGCTTTTGGACATGGAATAGTCTTTCTGGTAAACCAAAAAATTGCTTGCAATCAAAACCAAATCTCTATTGCCCACGAGCTCCTGTCCTCAAGCCCATCCTGCTTGATCTTGCTGTTTATTCCTCCACCAGAAAGTGGATACCTTTGGGGAAGTGACTACTTTTGCAGTAGCCAGTACACTGCCTGGGTCACAGTCTAACAGTGTGGTCAAGTGAGATGTTGGACTACTCAAAAGTTCTGCCACCTAGAGGCTGTGTGATTTTGGACAAGTTACTTAGCCTCTCAAAACCTGATTCCACACTAGGTGTGGTGGTAAACACCTGTAATCCCACGGTTTGGGAGGCTGAGGCAGAAGGACTGCAAGGCTGAGGTCAGTACCAGCCAGATGGTGAGTTCAAGGCCAAGCTGAGCTACACACAAGACCCTGTCTCAAAAACAAAATTAAAAAACAAGCGAACAAACCAATTAACAAACAAACCTATTTTCTCACCCATAAAGTCCTCTCATAACAGGGCTATTTTAAGGATTAAATGTGTAAATACATGTAGAATTTTTGGCATGCTCATTAGTACAGTAAGAGTTTAATAAGTGTCGGTAATTATTTTCATTCAGTTATTAATGAGTAGATGAATCTATCAGTCTGTTCCATGAAGCACATTTCCTCCCCAAACATACAGCAGCAAGGGGTTTTCAGTCTTAGTACTACGAACAGCTCTTTGTTGTGGGGCCTGCCCTGCACATTACCAGTTTCCCAGCATCCCTGGCTCTACCCACCAGGCATGTGCAGCAGACACACACACACCCTGGCTCTGACAACCAAAACTGTCCTGAGAGATTGCCATATGTCCCCAGGAGAATGAACCCTAGAATACGCAGTCGGTCTAGAAAGTCTGGTGACCACAGCCCGGCTCCTATCACAACGTCCTCCCTGCACTGCAGCTACCTCGACGCCACTTGCTCACCGCTCAGTTGCCTTGGAGGGAAGAGGTGGTAGGTGCTGTAGATGTCGTTGGAGAACTGCAACTGGAGCTCAGGGCTGCCGCTCAGGAGCTGGCCCACCTGCTCCACCTGAAACGGTGTCTTCTCCAGGATCACAACGGCATCCTCACCATCCCCAAGCCCAGAGTCCTCATTCACCTGTGGACAGAAACACTGTCAGTGAGGCCAAGTGCAGAGCCACAGGTGAGGCCTGAGGAACAGAGGCAAAAGCTCCCAGGGCCTGCCACATTCTAGCACTTGGGATTTCCTTCCTTGTGGTCTTCATCTGGGGAAGCCTAATCAACGTCACTCAGATTCTTCTCTCAGACAGGGCGTCTTACCCTGAATCCTTGTGGCAACCCTCACATCTTTCTTCCAAAAGATGCCAAGTTGCCGGATGTGGTGACGCACGCCTGTAATCCCAGCACTCGGGAGGCTGAGGCAAGAGGATGGTTGTGAGTTCGGGACCAGCCTGGGCTACAAAGTGAGCTCAAGGCCAGCCTGAACTGCATAGTGAGACCTTGTTTCAAAAAGACAAAAAAAAAAAAAAAAAGAAAAACAAAAGATGCAAAGTTTTTCAGCTATCTGCTACTTTGGTTTACAAGAGCTCTGCCAAACTTTCCCCACCATACAAGAAAAGATGGAGGGATTCTGAGATTATGTGGCTTGCTTCAAGTTGCACAAACGGTTACTACTGAAACAGAAACTAGAATCCAGGCCACCCAAGTAACTCAGCGGGAAGGATGCCGTGCCTAACGTCCTCAGCAGGTGACGCACACTGAAGACAGTGGGGTGAGGACGCCAGATAGGCCCTTGTAAACAAAAACAAGAGAGAGGCGCGGAAGCCTCAGCCAGATTGATTCTCCCAAAGATGTGAGCTTCTGCTAGGAGTTCTGGAGAAGCCCCAAAACTTCCACTGGCTGGGCCTTTTCACTAGTTTGGGAAGGTCTCCTCCTCTTCCCAGCCCTTGCTAGACAGATGGGCACATGGTATTAAAGTCAGTAAAGTATCAATTTCCACACATATGCTGTGTAGTCATGAAGATCGGGGGTAGTTCTTTCATTTCCACTTACTCAGTCCCACAGCGTACACAAAAGTATTGTTAGGTATGAAGTCAAACCTTAATGGGTCTGATGCACAAAAGAAACAGGACCAAAATAGCACTGCTTGTCAGTTAGGTAAAGAAACAATGACATCAATGTATAATATATTTACAATCATTTCTTAGGTCTTGGACCCAAAGTGACCCCACAGAGCACAATTACGCATTGTGCAGATTCTGATACCTGGCGACCTGGCAGGCTAACTCCAGAACAAGGCATACCGCATTCCTTGCTGGCCTACAAAGTGAGCTCAAGGCCAGCCTGAACTGCATAGCAAGACCTTGTTTCAAAAAGACCAAGAAAAAAAAAAAAAAAGATGCAAAGTTTTTCAGCTATTTTTTACTTTGGTTTACTCGCAGTAATCCTCCTGCCTCAGCCTCCGGAGTGTTGGGATTACAGGTGTGCGCCACCATGTCCGGCTGGACTAACAATTTAGCAATCTTTAGTACTGATGGAATGTAAATCAGGTCCTTTCTCTTTCAGTTTCAACGGCATCTCCAGGGACAGGGCCCAGGCAGACATCCAGCAACACTGACAGGATTCCTAACATCTTTATATTTTGAATGAATGATGAAAAAAGGCTTGAGGAATTTAACATGAGTTTTCAGGTGATACACTGTATAAAGATTAGTGAATATTTGTAGGGAAGGAAAAATTAGGAAATTAAACCTAGATGTATTCATTCCTTTATTTCATGGGTAATCACGTCGTCCTGTACACTGAAGCGATGCCACCCGCCCTCGTCATGTAATTGGTAGTTTCCCGCCCGGATAGGGAAAGTCAAATCCACCTCCGCGGCGGTGATTGGTTCCTTCCTCCCGAGTCCCCACCCCCACGGTTGCCCAATGGTACCTTCCCGTGTAGGAAAATGATTTTGTCCCGCGCAGACTCCCTCAGTACTTTCTGCACCCGAAAGCCAGAGAACGGTAAGCAGACTGGGGTAGAAGTGCCATTTCCAACACCTGCTTCTTTTTCTTCTGTGCTGGGGGCTTCCACATCCTCTGCAGCCTGTTCGCGCTTTCTCTTAGGTTGAGGAGGTACTGCCTCCGCCATACTGCCCAGAAGGAGCTGTGCGCCTGCGCGCGGAGGCCGCCGGCTCCGCCCCTCCTGGCTTTTCTCCGGACCGGGCGGTGCTGCAGCTCCGACTCCCGGCGTGCATTACGCCACTTGGGATGCTACTACAACTTCCGACGTACTCCGCGCCCTCGGATCTGTGACTACAACTCCCGGCGTGCTTCCCCACGGCGGGCTGGAACTACAACTTCCGACGTAGCCTGCGCCGGTAGAGCTGCGACTCCGATAGCAGGCGTATTGCGCGCCCCGGGGGGCTGCGACTCTTGTGCCACGCGTGCTTCAGACCTCAGGCTGATTCTGCGGGTGTGCACGCTCCGTGGAGCGGAGCCGGCCTTGCGAAGAAACGTGTTTAATCCATCGCTGCTGTCTGCCTCCTTCGGCTGCTGGCCGGCGCCGTTAAGAAGGAAAGCGCCTCCACCCCCGAGACCCCCCGTGGGGGGATCTTCATTACGCACCCTTCTTGTGCCTGTGACTGAGGGACACCTTGTGTGAATACGGACTTTATAAGCCAGGTTACCCATTGCTTAAGAATGATCATGATCGTGGGTTGTTTCTGGAACATAACTTCCAGTCTACTTTCTTAGTCGGTTTTTTATAGCGAGTACTAAAGCCATTTTCCATTTTCTTCCCATTTACGTTATTTTAACAAAAATTTTCATCGTGATCAGTGGTTTTCTTTAGAGACTCAGCACATTTGCTGGAAAGAAAGGTAAGCAAACAGGCCTGAGGTAACCGTTTCCATCACCTCCCCGCGCAGGCACACCCGACTGGAGGCTTCGACCCCTAGGCGGGTGTTTCTGCTACGGCACCCCGGGGGGTGAATTTCCCTTCTCTTTTTGCCATGTAAGACTTTCAATGGTACTTTCTGATTTTGTAAGTTTGTTTTGTGTCCATTTTTCTGGCTAGCCCGATTTCCTTGGTGTTATTTGACAGACACAGATTTTGTCCATATTGGATCTTTGCATCAAGTTTGAATCAGACAATCATTATTTTTGCTAGTGTTTCGAATTTAATTTTTAGACATGTCTATGAGTGTAGGCTCACCTTTGCAGTTTTCAACATTAGCAACAAACTGCAATTTTTAGTCAGTTTTTGGTAACAGTATATCAAGTTTTAATAGCAGATTGATTTTTGGATTATTTCTATGAGAAGCATATCTTAGGAGCTGGGTAAGACACTGTTTAGTGAAGCAGAGGACATTTTTAGGGGAAGAGTCTGAAGTGATTATTTGCAACAAAAAACATTTTTCACTTGTCCACAGGTTTGCTGAATACATTTGTCATTTTGTAAGAGATTATAAACTCTTCAAGACTAAAACATAATATTGTACCCTGAAGGACAGATGTGAGTAACAAAACTTGCTCTACTCTAAGGCCCTATCTTTTGGAAAAAGTTCTGCATTTTTTTCCAAGTCAAAAAATGAGAGACAGATGGGGCCTGATAGCGCACTCCTGTAATCCCAGCACTTCGGAGGCTGAAGCAGGAGGATCTTTGTTAGTTCGAGACCATCCTGGGCTACAAAGTGAGCTCAAGGCCAGCCTGAACTGCATAGCAAGACCCTGTCTCAAAAAGACAAAAGAAGAAAGAAAAAGAGAAATTTGAAAGATTAGTTTGGAAACGTGTAGCCACATGAGAAGAAAGTAAAAATTTAGAATCTAATTCAAATGGTAGTCTCAAAAACAACGGGGTACAGTTTAAAACAGAGTTTTCTTCTGAATTCTAACTTTTCCCTTTCTATCCTGCCCCCTTTTCCCAAAATAATACCAGTAGATCTAACATATTTCAAAATAAATTTAGTCTTGTTTAAACTTGGTCTGATTACTTTGTATAAATACGTACAGCAAGAATAGTGATTGAAGCCATGGGCAGTGGCATACACCTGTAATCCCAGCCACTTGGGAGGCTGAAGCAGGAGTATCACAAGTTGCAGGCCAGCCTTGGCAACTTATTAGCAAGACCTTGTCTCAAACAATAAAAAATGGACTGAGGATGTAGCTCAATGCAAAAGTCCTGGGCTTAATCTTCACTTACCGCCTCCGCCCTCCAAATAAAGTTGTAAGGGCAGGAGATGTGGCTCAGTGGTAGAGCTCTTGTGTAGCACATGTGAGGTCCTTGATTCAATCCCACCCAGTACTGCAGACAACAACAAAACACTGCAGTTGCAAAACAAAACAAAAACTTCCAAGGAGGCTTAGAAATGAATAACGAATTTTCTTTAACTTAGTCTGTAGTTCTGGTTAATTATCAGCCAGCCTGAGTGAGAAATAACCTTGGGAAAGGCTTTCAAAAAGTTATATGCAGTTTTTCTCTTTTTTTTTTTCCGGCCCATGTGTAGCTGACAAAGCATCTCTTTCCCTTGGGTTTGTCAGGTAAACAAGCAAAAAAGTCTGCAGATTCAGACTGCCATTTATATCTGCGTTATATTTAAGCTGGTAGATTTGCCTGTCTTAATTAAATCAGTAAAATTAAGCTAGTCTTATTTACCAAGGGTTTACCCAAGTAAACCATGAATTGGAAAAATGTTTAGGTTAACTTATAAAAGCTCAGGGGCTGGGGATTTAGCTCAGCGGCAAAAGCGCCTGCCTGGCAAGCGCAAGGTCATGAGTTCGGTTCCCGGTACCGGAGAAAACACCAAAAAAACCAAAAAAAAACCTTATAAAAGCTCATATGTTCTAAGCCATTTTGAATAGAAGAGTTTGTATTATATAAACATAACATGTATACTTAAAAATATACACAGAAACAAAGATGCTACAACTTTTATTTAAAAATTTTAGTCATGAGACATATGTAACTTATAAATGTTGGCTTTGTAGAGACAAAGGGAATTTTTTTCCTCCACTTTCTGAAAATTCATTGAAATAAACTGACAAAGAGACTCATTGGAGAAGAGACGTTTGCAGGAGTAATCACAGTATAGTTACCCGCTGGCTCAACTAGCTTCAGAAGCTTCTGCAGCCTTGTGTAGGAGGAAAGAGACAGGAGCAGGGAAGATGTTTGGCCCACAAAGACCATGGTTTGTCAGTGATTCTCACTGAGATCAAACTGGAAGAGTATCAGGTTGAAATGTGTCGAGGTGTGTTCACAGACCTCAGGTTTTCCTGCCGTGATAAGAGGTTAGTCTTTGTTTAATGAAATTTCACTGGGAAGACTAAAACCAATAGTGCACCTCCTTTGGGGGGACAGTTGGCATAAGGCGGATAAGAGAACTTTGCAGAAAGCTTCTCCACGGGGTGAGAGGGAGAAATGGAAACTCAGAGGGCCCTACATTTTGAGGTAGCAGTTTTAAGACCTGTCAGCATGTCAAAGCAGTCTCTGGGGGATTGTTTTCTGTGCCTCCATAGACTCAAATTATGTCTTTGCAAGTTAAGAATACCCACTTATATTGTTAAAACTTTTTACTAATACTACTGGAAAAGACCTTTAGGCTTTTAAAATTTGTTCAGCTTTTAAGTAAAAAATCCTTCCGACGCTCAGGCGTGGCAGTGTTCACCTATAATCTCACCACTCTGGGGGACTGAGGCAAGAGGTACTGAAGTTTGAGCCCAGCCTGGGCAGTTTAGCAACTTAAGGAGACGCTGTCTCAAAATAAATTTAAAAATTTAAAAGGGGGCTAGGGGTACAGCTCAGTATAAAGGTCCTGGGTTCAATCCCCAATATTAAAAAAAAAAAAAAAAAATGCCAACAAGAGATAAAGTTGGCAGAGAAAGCAGAGTGTGGTTAGCAGGGATTCAAAAAGGAGACTTAAGGTGACTGAGAAGCAGGACCCTATAGAGAGGCCATGTGTGTATCTGTGTGTATGCTGAATATCAGCTCCTAATTAAACTGACTTCTGGGGCTGGGGATTTAGCTCAGCGGCACAGCGCCTGCCTGGCAAGCGCGAGGTTGTGAGTTCGATTCCCAGTACTGGAAAAAAACAAAAAACAAAATAAATAAACTGACTTCTGAATATAGAGCTCTTAAAAAATCTTTTTCCAAAAAAAAATCTTGTTTCAAGTTGTGTTTGGTAACACATGCTTATAATTCTAGCACCTGGGAGGCTGAGGCAGGAGAGTTGCAAGTTTGAGGTTGGTGTGGGTTACATAGTGAATTTTAGGCCAGCCTGGGCTGCTTAGCCATACCCTGTCTCTGAAAAATATATATGTCATCAGATTTTAGCCAAGATAAGCAACAAAGATGACCTTTGGTTTGGTTCCTCTAAGAATCTTCCCCCTGGAGCTTACATTTTGAGAGGGATGACCAGATGAGAGATTTACATCTGAAAGGCACAAAGAAATAACACAAGCTTTTCAAGTTTGGAGGGGGACATGTTACTATAGAGTTTGTCTGCTCACCACTCAAAAGCCAATGCTCGAGAGACAAGAGTCCATACAAGGAATTCTGTTTACTCGAGGGCCTGTACCCTGAGAAGACGGGGATCTGTTGTCTCAGAGCCCCACCCCAGGGAATCGGGCACGGAAGGGCTTCTGTGAGCACAGCAGGGGAGTGGTGTGTAGACAGGAAGGCTGCTTGCTGAGTCAGGTATCCAGGCTGACACACATCTCCATCCCTTCTCTTTGGCCAGTGTGTCCTTGCAGTAACGACTGACCTTCATCTCCTAGGGCAATACCTGTAATTCTTAGACAAACATACTATTTTTCATGCAGTTAAACATTATTCCACTTCTAATTAAAGAATACTATTATCAAATCCTTGGCTTGAACTTTAATGTTACCTGAAGGCCATTTGATGTCCTGGGTCACGAAGAACCGAAGGAAGATTACTGACTAAGAGATCTTGTGTTGCTGACTCCAGCAGTTAGTATCCCAGTCATTTAAAGATGGTTTTACTTAGAATTTACAATGCTGGGCAATGCAGAAAAACTGTAAAGTTTACAAGGGCCAGTTTACAAGGTTGAGCTAACCCCGAGTAGAATGGTGTAGGACACTGGCTTGACGGTTACTACTGTTACAGTGTTTGCCAATTAGAGGTCTTGCCTATTAGAAGTGCTGTTTAGACTCTTAA